TATTATTATTATTGTTGTTGTTGTTGTTGTTGTTGTTATTATCATTATCTTTATTTTATAATCATTATATTGCTATGATCATTATTGTTATTATTTTAATTATACATTGTAGGGCCTCTTTATAAATTTCTTGTTCTCCATTGACATCATTGGTTTTCCCTCTTCTCTTCTCGTATGACCTGGGCTTGGATTCCATGATGGTTCTGAGCTTTGTATTGTGACAGCGGTGAATACAGTGTGCATACCTCTCTCTCTCTCGTCAGATAAGATAATGATATAAATATATATGTGAGGCAGCGTGGTGGAATCAGGCTCTCGTCAAAATAATCAAAGTGAAGAAACCTGCTTTTTTCCGCAGGTTTGTGAATTTTTATCAAATTATTGTTTTTTGACTCAACACCTTTCATGCCCATTAAAGAACTCATTTCTGTATGAATTTTCTGAAAAACGTTGATTAAAGGCACGAAAAATGTAAATTTTCAGTTACTAAAGGCTCCTAGAGTAAGGAAATAAGTAATCTTTGGAGGCTATTTTCTCACTAATTTTACCTCCGAAAACAGATGACCCCCACCTCCTTCAATTGCAAATATCTCGACTTGTATTCAAGATCAATGGATAGTTTTTTTCATCCAAATAAAGACAAGTAAACAAGCTTTCAGATGATACCAATAACTCTACATGCCCAAAAATTGACGAGAGCCTGATTCCACAACGCTGCCTCACATATATATAATATCACACATTCGTCATCAGTAATGTTGCTCCAAGTGGGACCACTCAGCATTTTTGTTTTCTCCTACCCTTTTCAAATGGAAAGTGTTTAAAAACTGCAGTTGTTGCAAGCAATCCACGTAAGTTCAATTGGATACTTTTTAAACCAGAGACTAAACTGGTTGTTGTTTTTTTGTGTGTGTTTTTGTTGTTGTTGTTGTTTGTTTTTTGTTGTTGTTTGTTTGTTTTTTTGTCGTTGTTGTTTGTTTGTTTTTTGTTGCGTTTGTTCCAATCACGAATCATGAAAAGCAAGAAAGTTGTAAGTCTTATCCAGCTTGTGTCTTATAGGAAATTCAATGCTGAACACCGGGGTCTTTGATTTATTTTTTTTTTAGATATCTCAAGTAGTTTTTTAGATATAGCACATTTTTCGAGGAAGGGTATAAAAGTATAATTTTGAGACAATGAGCTGTTAAGTTTAACAAACGTGAGAACACACACAAACTTTTTAAAAAAAAGATTTTTCCAATGTATTTATTCATGGAAAATTCATTTCCCATTTGGCATTCAGTTGACATCAATATCATGAATGGAATTCAATGTTAAAACATAGCAGGGAAGAGAAAACGTGCTTCAAGAATAGATTTTAACACCCTTTGAAGGCACTTTTCATTATTTGTTTTTATTATACCCTACCCTAAAAATAATTCAAAATAAAATATTTAGAATTCAAATCAATGAAAACCCTTTGAGTTCATTGTAAAAAAAGAAAGGTGGATCTGTCATTTTTTTATGGAAACACATTTTGGTCAAAAAAAATTTGTCATTATCGGCCTGTAGCTCGAAACGGTCTGGGGCGACTTTTGGAACCTTTCTCTAGCCGCACATACATATTATTATTAAACTGCATTTTGGTGATGTTGCAAGGTGTGTCTCAAAATGTGGACTTAGGTGGATTGTTTGCGACAGCGATGATGATAATAATATAGACCAGTACTTGTAAATAGAGAATCAGTGACAACGAAAGATAAAGGAAGAAAAAAATGTGTTCTAAAGTCATTGTACTTAGTAGTTTTGTAATGACTTTGTAATTTTTTTTAAAGTTTAATTTTCAACAAATCGTCCCTCCAAGTCAGATGGGTAGGGCCTACAGGTTGTTGTGAAGGAGAAATGGTTATTTTATTATGCGCTTATCAGGTTACAACGCTGTATGTCTGAGAATGCAGAAAATGGCGGAGCTGGTGAGACAACTTAGGCCTATCCCCGTGGTTTTATGCACC